CCGATTGGCGGGACCTGATTAGTACCTCGCCTGGCGGTGGAATCACTTTTTAGGAACCAGGTGGGGGATGGTTTTACAGAACCACACAGGACTCCCTTTTCTGGCGCCAGGGGGATGTTTTTTTCAGGAACAAGATGGGGGTCTGCTTTTTCCGGAACTAGGTGGTGCATTGTTTTTTCAGGACCCCCGCGGTGGAATCCCTTCTCAGGAACCAGGTGGAGCAATGGTCTAGGTGGAGGATTGTTTTTTTTTCAGGAGCCCCTTTTCAGGAACCCGGTAGTACGCCTTGTTGTCGGCAACCAGGTGGACGGCGGACTCCTTTTTCAGGAGCCAGATAGTGGATTCCCTTTTTCAGGAACCAGATTGCAGTTTTCCGCATGTTCGGGAATTAGATGGCTGACTGTCATTTTCAGGAACCATGTTTTCAGGAACCAGGAAATGTCCCGCGGCGTTCTCGACTCAGCGTTCCCGGCTCCCGACAAATGTTCTCGACTCGTTGTTCTTGACTCTGCCCGAACCCAATGGTACAGAAGTTAGGAACCACTCCCTGAATTTGCTTACCCGGAGGCATGACCAACTCACATTGGCGACTCAAAGGATCACACATGGAGAGGATCCTTCCATCATTTGGAAGAACAAGAGTAACACCCTTGTGGGTGGTCATCTAGTGCTTTTTTGTTTGTAATGTTTGCATGTGTATGTATAGAATATACATATATATATATATAGATGTGTGTGTACATATGCATTCTATACATGTATGTGAAGTACCGTCAAAAACACTTCTGTTGAGTTTAGTATTCGGTGCTTCATTGATATTGTGAACATGCACAAAACCATGGCAAACGATGGGGGACACTCAAAAAAACGATACCCCTGGAAAAAAATGGAAGTGCTGGAAAACGGGGCTCTCAAACTAAGTAGCGACACGGCCGTAAGTAAGTAATTTTGAGCGTGCTTCATGTGTGTCTGTTTGAGGGTGCCTGTTTTGAAAGAACCCTGTTGTGAGGGTGCCCTTCTGAAAGTTGACTTTAAGCCCCGCCCGGATCTACTTTCCGGTTTCCCTTTTTCCCTTTTTCCGGTTTCTCCTTTCCCTTTTTTCCAGGGGCTTAACCAAATGAAAGTTTACAATCAAAAGGCTGCCCAGCTCAATCAATCCTGAATCCGCGTGGCGGGTGGTAGTGCTTTCCCTTCTTCTAGTGACTTAGTGGTGTCCCACGCATTGCGGATGTACAGAATTGGGATTTGGGACATGTTTTTTCTTTGACCTAGTTCTTTGGGTTTTCCAACCAACAAATCAATCAAGCAACCAACCCCAAACGGACATTGCTTTGGACAACCAAGCCAATCAAACCTTTGTTCATTGCCCCTTCAAGGAAGTAATCAACCCAATTTCAGCTTCCCTCTATTTTTTGGTTTGGATTGGTTATTTTTGGTGGTTTGGTGGAGGGGCTTCCCAGTAACCCTCTAGATAAGCCACAGGTTCGAATCCGCTCGGGGTTGCCTGACCATTTTCCCAAAGCAATCCCTGCCAATCCTGCAACAAGGACTTACGTGTTGTGTGGGACCAGTTGTCATGACAGCACGGTGCCACATTGGAAGGTACAAACTTGACCGCAGCGAGAGGGGTCCTTCCCCAAATTTTTTCGGCCCACTGAACAAGTCACCAAAGGACCCACAAGAACCGTGGCCAGGGCACGGCGCCTTCAGGCAGGTCTTGACCGCTTGAGCCGGGTTCTGACACCCCCCCTCCCCCCCTGGCCTGAGGGCGGGGGGGGGACCGGGGAGGGAAGGGCAAAGGGCAACAAACACGAGGTTGGGCTGTGAGGTTGTTGACAAGAACATCCTCCCAAATGGTTGATGGACATGGATCCCTGCTTAAATGCGGCCCCTATTCAGCTTTACCATCCATGTATGAGGCCCAACTCCGGCAAGCGTGCAATCAAGTCAAACCTTTGAGACTTGGCTGGGTTGCGGTCGGTGGGATTTTTGGGCACCCCGAAGCCAGACTCAGAATTAGCAAGCAATACCATGGCAAATCCGCCCATTGGTTCCCTTGGACCTTCTTGCCATTCAACATTCCAATTCAATTCGGAGTAAAATAATATTCGAAAGGAAATCATATTTGGACAGGTAGGACTCCCGGTTCCAAATTATGAGGCTTGCAGAATCCAACAGACTTGAAGGATTCTGATCTCCAGATAGGTTTCAGATCTTCCAAAATGGAAATGTCAAGGGATTAGAGGTCCAACATAATGTTGAAAAAGCGCAGTGTTTTGCCGAAATTGCTCAGATTGTGTCCCTTGGACCGAAGATTGTTTTCTTCCCAAACAGTTTTTTCCCCAAACAACAGTATCCATTTGCTACGCATTAAGCCTACTTAAGGTTTATAGACTTGCAGGACAGTTTATAAACCTTCCTGGGTGTTTGGCGTTTTCCTGCAACAAGGCAACACCCTGGGAAGTCTTCATGGTCATGGTAGGGGGCGGTGGCTGGAAGTCTCGGGGGGGTGGTTGGAAGTCTCCTCTCAGCAGTAAGATGTGACTCAACCAACTTTGTCAGGATTGTAAGGGCTCACCACCACCACCCCCCCCGCCCCCTCTCACTTCCCTGTCCCAGACTTCTCAACCTCCCCCCAGGTGTTGCCTTGTTGCAGGGAAACCGTCAAACCCTTGACATAGTTTATAAACTTTCCTGAAAGTGTATAAATTCTTCGCGGTTGTTACTCAACATGACTTGTCCTCATTCAAAATATGCAACAACAGCACACTCCTTGCGTATATGTGCTCACACCCCCTGTCTTTAGAATACGAGGATTCAGTGTAGGGGGCGAGCATACATTGACATATGTATATATAGAGAGAGAAAGAGTGTTTCAACCCTGCTGTGCTTTGTTTGGATCTGTTTGGTGGCAAGAACCATGCAGCGTTGCGCCACACGCGGGAAATCGTCTCAGGCGCGATGCTGCTGGGGGCCCCAGTCTGCGAGGGAGGGGCGAGCTTTTGACGTAGGTCCAACGCCAAGTCTAGAACGAGCTCGCCGATTCAGGGGTAAGGCGAGCTCACCGTGATGTAGCTCTTTGCCCTCATTCCTTCCTCACTTCAGGCTTTGGAATCAATGTAGAATTGGTTACAGGATTGATCAACCCCAGTTGATGAAAAAGGGGTTGTCCCAGTTTAGAGAATCCTCCACTTTTTGGGAAAACACTCCGTGAATAGTCAATCCACCAGGTTGAACCAGGTTCAGCTTTACGACCGTCCGGAGTCCGAAATTGGTTTTGCATGTTTGAGACTAGCCAAAATTGAGCCTAAACATACCATTTTGAGTTGGAGGTAGTTGAATTTTGTTCGTCAGGGTACTTGGCCAAAAGCCTTTTGCAGGTTAGAGTGGCGCTACGTGCGAATACAGGACAGATGACGGTATGGAATTTTGACTCGGCCTTTAGACCGCTGGGGTCAACAAGGCAAAACCGAGCCCATGCTCTGCAAACCTAGGGGCCGGGCGACGAGAGCAATGAAGGACCGGCCGAGAAGTGCAGGGTTCGAGCCAGATGAGCAACCCACCTTTGAAACGGAAAATCGGTGGATTATTTGGTTGTTGTTTTTTGTATTGACCAGCTTTCTAGCGTGAAACTCGGGACTTCCCCTGAAACACCCGCTTCGAGTACAGGGACGGTCCATTGAATTTTCCAGCTTGCAACTCTGCTCCCTCAAGGATTCATCTTCCATTTGCTTACGAATATGGTTTTTATTATTTTCCTCTGTTGGTTTCAAATGGAATCTATGACTACTGGACATATTTTTTTCCAGGTGGCGAAAACGCGAATGAAAGTCGAAGATGTTTGCTCCCAAAGGCCAGATCAACGAGCCTCATGTCCACAGCAAATGGCTCTGAGCACCATTCGGAGTACTGGTGGTTTCTGTTGTTTCCAGGGCATGTTGAAGTATGGGTTGCGGAGGTACGCAGGTTACATGCCACCTGTAGGTGTATATTACCTGAAGGCTTATATATATATATATATACATATATATATATACATATAGGGTTGCTAAGCCTCCATGCCTCCAGACCCCATGTCTGATGCCGTTCATGGTTCTCAATGACACGTCCCAGTCACATCTACGAGCGGATAAGTTCTGATCTTGGCCCTCCAACATCTGCCTCACGTGCCAGGAGTCGACAAGGAAGCGATTCTTGTGCGGACCTGAGGTGTTGAGGGCGTTGGAATAACGTGCTCCATGTCGCTGTTCCGGGGATTCCCCTCAAAGAAGGAACGAAGGGAAGCTTCACGACACCCGGCCAGAGTGAAGCAAGTGCGGACGGCCCTAGAGCCCCGAGGATTCTGTGTTGGCTGGAGGTCGAGGTATTGCCATGAGCCACGATCGGGCGATATCCACATTTGTCCAGGCCTGCGATTGGAAAATCAGTTTCGTGCCATCGTCGTTGCAAACCATGATACAAGGCCTAGGAATGTTTTGTTTGCATGGTCCTGTCCAAAAGATTGGAACCCTCGAAGATGTTGAGCATTCCATTGAATATCATCATCTTGCAGCATCGATCACTCACACACACACACACCTTCAGCTCAATTCGGAGCTATTCCTTTGCAGAAGTGAAATATCTCAAGAGTTTGGAAGGATGCCATTGCAATTCTCACTATGTAGAACCTTACAATGCTCGCTTCCTGATTCGGCTATGTCCCACGCCCAATTTTGCATAATTTTGCCATGTGTGCCAAGACGAACCCAAAGATAGTGAGTATTTCTCGTTTGTGCTCCAGGCAGGGGAGTGGTTGTAGCTGAAGTTTGTGCGAACCGGATCTATGATGTTCAGGGAAACCAACTAGCAGGGATACAGGGGGAACCAGGGATACGGGAGGATTCCCCCGTTTGATGCACCTAAGTTTTTGATATGGGAAATGGCGTCAAGTTGGAATCCCCCCATATCGGGACCCGCTCCCTCCGGGACTCCGTATCTCCGCTTGTTGGTTTGAGGTGGAGATGTGCCCGCTTGAGTACAAAGTGCAGGAGAGCGGAACGGTTTTTAGACAACGTCTTGCCTTGTGGCCTGATGAATGGAAAAAAGAACTGGGTTCCATTCGGATACGAACATTGTCCTGTGCAAGCTTCCAGATCAGAACCCAGGGATACATGATTGCCTTACTGAAACAAAAAGCTTTCTGGTGGGAGAAACGGCGGCAAAGAAGAGACTGAAGGCCCAAAACAGGGCTTCCATGTTTGGAATACTACCCGCCCGAGGCATGTTCTTCAAGGCGTGGCTGGAGGGTAAGGCCAATATTTTCTGAACGCTACTGCCACTGCTACTGCTACTGCCACTGCCACTGCTACTGCTGCTGCTACTGCCACTGCTACTGCTACTACTACTACTACTACTACTACTTCTACTTGTGCTGCTACTACTACTACTACTACTACTACTTCCTATAAAACTGAGGGCGAGCACTGGTGTGGTCATTGAGGGCATCCGTCAGTCCTCAGTCCATGGCAGATATTGGGTCAGCACGATGGCGTGAGCCCTTGATCATCTACCGACGCCACATTCCCCTGAGGTTTTGTTTACCTTGGCAGGTTGCTTGTACAGACTCGTGAGGTTTGGCTACTGCGGGTAAGAACTAGGTTGGGAAGTTCTGTGATGCAAATCATAAGAAAGGCATCTATGTGAGTCGGAAAATAAGGCGCCCCTATGTCAAAACGGAATCCGACAAAAAACCCAAGCACTCAGGCCGCGCAGCCTTTGAGCATCCGAGCCCAACCTAGTTGCCCTTCATTCCCAGGGGTTAGTCTCCCAGCGCCGCGCAACCTGAGGGTTTTTTGGGCTCCTGGCTCCACTTGCGCTAAGATCACGCGCTAGGACGGCATCGCGGAAGTGGACGCGGTGGTGGACTGCCTTTTGCAACACCAGGCCTGGCACTTCACTTGCGGGAACTTGCGGAGGGTGGACGATGTTTGTGGTCTCGGAGTCTTCAATGGCGACTGAAGAAGCACAAATCTGCCAGTTTGAAGCTTTTTGGGTTGGTTGTATCATTGCATGTCCTATTCTGTGCTTGCGCTCAGCTCGATTGCTTTGCTTTGCTTTCGGGTGTCGCCTTTTCCCGCAAAAAGCACCTAAAAATGAAACTGTTCCTACCACCCCGCAAACAAACCTTCCTGCAGGGGATGAATTGGCGGCTGTTTCAGGTCCAAAAGGGATGTGAGCCGAGAGCTGCCCAAAAGGATACTGCGCGGCCCAATGGCAGGTTGTTCCATGTTCACTTCTTCATGCAAGCCAGTGATGTTGCCAATGTAGATGGGGTTCTTGGAATTGCCGCTGTGGATACCAGTCTGCAGAAATGTTGCAGCCGACTGTAAAACTCGTGACTTTTCGCGACTGGACATATGTATATATATAGAGAGCATATGCACATATACACATACTCTTTTATACATCATATATATATATATATATATACATGTATGTATGTGTAAATATCCAGACCATACATACGTGCGTACATACATGCAGACACACGCACCCATACCTACCTACCTACCTACCTACCTACCTACATACATACATACATACACACACACAGACATACATACATACATACATACATACATACATACCTACCTACCTACCTACCTACCTACCTACCTACCTACCTACCTACCTACGTACGTACGTACGTACGTACGTACATACATACATACATACATACATACACACACAAATACATACATACATACATACATACATACATACATACATACATACATACATACATACATACATACATACATACATACATACATACATACATACATACATACATACATACATACATACATACATACATACATACATACATACATACATACATACATACATACATACATACATACATACATACATACATACATACATACATACATACATACATACATACATACATACATACATACATACATACATACATACATACATACATCCATGCATGCATGCATGCATGCATGCATGCATGCATGCATGCATGCATGCATACATACATACATACATACATACCTACATGCACGAACATGAAGATGTGTTTATGCGTAAAGCGACACACAGAGCGAGACATACTAACACGCATGTGCACACACATGCGCACGCACAATCACACTCGCATAAGCAGCCAAAGTACAGCAACAGGGTTAACAGCAAACCCAGCCACATAGACACAAACACACCACACTCGCAAAAGCACACGCACAAGCACAACACCACACACACACACACGCGCGTTTACACTTTGCAGTACTGTAACTTCTCAACAATAAGTTGAAGAATGCATTGACAACCAAGCTGTTTGTTCCCGTAGAAACTTGTTGGTTCGGTGACTCCCCATCGGCCTTGAAACGTCTTCGCTGCTTGCAGCATACCTGTGCGAGTTTTTACCTGATTTTTCAGCAATTTTCCAAGGGTGTCTTGGTGGCTCCCAGCCATCCGGTTCCTTAGCTTCTTCGCCTTTTCGTTTTTAGTGGTAGTTTCCGAATTTATCCCACAAGGTAGTCACTTTTAGCAGGGTATCCGAAAACGGGCAGCCAGGGGAGCTGATCTACGTGCGACGGGTCGGGTTTGTGGAAGCGGGCAGGTGGCCAAAATCGAGCAGACGATTTCTCAGAAGGCAGCGCTTTTTGCAGCTCGACAGCAGTCAGCTGAGTCAGCGATGTTTGGCCAAAGTGGGTCTGGCCTTCGGTCTAGGCGGAAGTTGCGCAAGGCCCATAGGGGTTGGTTCCTATGTTCAGAGATGGCCCACATTCGAACTTCAATCAGTGTATGGGCCTGTTTTCAAGACAGTCAGACTGAACAATGCACGTCCTGCAATCAAGGAGCAGAGGTGGCTGCGATCTGTGTTGATGAACTGGTGAGACTCGCATTGAAAGTGGACACCTGCCCCCTGCTGAATGTTCTTACCTGTCACCTGTCCAGGCAATATGCACTCAGTTGCACATTCAACTGAGCCAATATATTCCTCGATTTCGCACACTTTGTTTGAAGACTGTTCTAGTGGCAAGCAAAAGTTTTGTTTTTTGTTGGCCAATCCGCTCAGTGACTCAGGAAGTGAGTTCTGGATAATATGAGGCTCTAGATTCCAGAAGCAGAATCTGTGGTTGATCCATCATGGCAGCTTTCTCCTTGCTGGTTGCCGCACCATCCAAGCAGGACAGTCCCTTGTTGGAGCTTTCGCAGATCTTGGTAGATTGTGACAACCTGCGTGACATGTCTTTCTGTTGAGGGCGTTAAGGCAAAGCCATCATTTGGTAATTCACAGCCTGGCTTGAACACTCTTACTTGACGTGTCATTTGAGTGAAATGAGCGACTGACTGATTTGCCCGCATTTGCCGGCCATGGAATCATAGCTTTCATCGCCGGAAGAAGCTCCACACGGATTGTCACTCATAGCCTGCAGAGGTCAAGACTAAGAGTTTGGATAAGATGACTTCATTCATCTAGCTGGTGGTTGGAAGAGAGCCAAGCAGCCGGGGGTCTCCAAATCTGCTTTCCAATAGGGAGCCTTTCAGAGCTACCAGAAGTTCTGGTTAGGGACGTGCAAATCCAATTCTTGTCGCCGTCTGACAGGTCAAGCTGTTTCTGTGTCCAGCGCATGAAGTCCGATGGGAAGAAACATGATATGTGTACGTATATGTCTACCTGGACCCTCAAACTACCCATAAAAAAGGGACTTCGCCCCATAGTTTGGGACTATAGCCCAGTTTTAGGGGAAATTTGAGGGTCCAGGTGGACAGAACCACACCCTTGGACTGATGACGCAGACCGTCAATGCAGACACCCTGCCCACAAACGTCCACAAGACTTGGCAGGTGGACGATGGGGTGTTTCAGTATCCTACATACTGGACTCCTTACATGCGGGTCAACATTGCCTGGATGTGAGTGGGTCCACGTGTTGGTGATTGGTAAATTATCAGAAGGACAGGTTCCTCTTGGTTCCTCTTGAATATGAGGTGGTTGCGAACTTCAGCCTGCGCAACAGATGTGGCCATAAATACATATATATATATATATACATGTATATATATATATACATATATATATATATACATACATATCTATATGCAAGCCCCCCTAGAGCATTTGATTTCCGTTTGGTTGGATGGTTGTCGATGTTCAGCTGGCTAGAGTGGAATGTGTCCGGCTTGAACCACCCAATTCAATTCCTGTGTTCTATGTTCGAAGGTCGGAATCTGACATTTATTGGAAACTATGCAAGTCACTCTTGTTGAACCCCAACCCCCCCCCCCCGGCAAAAACCCCCCCCCCCAAACCCCTGTGTTTTCTTGATTGAACACGTCCATTAATCGTTTGCTTCTCAGTTTGCCTTTGACCGGAAGCTAAGGAGCCAAGACGGGCAGCGAGCACCCAGAAGATGGATTTTGTCCTCAAGCCGAAGGCCCCCTCTCAAAAAAAAAAGGGAGCACGGGGTCGACAAAAAACATTGATGGCTAGCTCCGTGTTTGTGTGTGTGCATGTGTGAATAAACATGAGTTGGACCCCCTTGACTTCATTTTCAACATGCAGTACGTTTTGTCCAACTTGTACTGCTCAAACCAACCCCCAAAAATGAGGTCAACATGAATCGTGATTTGTCGATTTATTTTCTGTCAAAGTTGCACTGTGTCATGTTTATTGTCCAATAAGGATAGACTAATTGAGGGGGTTTCAACCTTGTGTGGAGCCTCCAACGGGGCTCCAACATTCATACATACATACATACATACATACATACATTCATACATACATACATACATACATACATACATACATACGTACATACACACATACACACATACATACATTGACATGCATACATATTTAAAGTTGTGTTGTCTTATGTGTGTTCTTGTTTGCGCCTCTATCTCGTATTTGTTGTTTATGCGTGCCACGGTGTTTTGTGTTTTTGTGCCCCTGCGTCTGTGCGGGGGTCCTGCAAAAGGCCCTTGTATGAGACAAGAATTAGCTGTCGCGAAAGCCGCGCGATGGAGGTCGCGGCGGCGATTGATCCTGGTTCTTCGCCCAGAATGCCTTGCCCGGAAGGAACTGAGACACGTTCCATGCGGTCAATTCGCTTTCTGGTCATACGCGTCATGGTGCGTTGAGTTTGCCGTAGGCGTGGTGTGCGTGGTGTGTGTGGCCCCAGAGATCCCAGGTTTCGGGCATCCATTGCCTATGCGAGAGGGAGTGTTGTCTGCTTTCCCACTTTCCACAGACTCTCCAAGGTCCAATATTTACCGATATATCAAGACAACAAGAAGCAAACCGTTTTGTACTGTTTGATCTCGGCTGGTTGGGTGGCCCAGCTGCACATTTATTCGGCGACCTGGCAAAAAGGAGTGCTTGAAACCTCCCCAAGTTGAAAGGATACAACTCTCTCGAGTCTTCAAAGTCAGTGATACGAACAAACTGGTTTCAACTAACAAGACTCGCGGTTTCCAGGCATCCGGTCTGTTGCTTTGTTTGACACATTTGGAAGGCCCAGCCGGTACAGCAAGAGATGCGTGTCTTGTCCGTCATTTCATGGTGCCCTCGGGCAGATGCGCTTTGTTGGATCTGCCGGAAGTGAGACAGTCGCACAATCAGATGTAGCATCCTCTATGTCTCTATGCCTCGGATAGCGCTCGAGCAGAGGTTCCAGGTCCCCCAGTAGTGACCTTCTCTCCCTTTTTTGGTTGGGAGGATTGCCCTACTAAAAGAGACAAAACCGAATAAACATCGGGCACCAACTTATTCTAACCTCCAAAACTGGAGGACCGCACAGTTTTTGTTTGGTTTGCCGCACATGGACAAGAACTAAAATTGGGAGTGAGGGCCATTGCCTCGAGTCTTTGTTAGCGGTGGATTTTCCGATTCCATTCTTTTCAGCCATCGTTCTTTTGTCAAAATCCGATCAAAAACCATTTTCTCAGGGTGTTGGGTGGTTTTCTAGAAAGATTCGGATGCCTGGAAAGAATGGAAATGGAAGTTTCCCCTAGATTTGTTCATGGCTTCCAAAGTCCCCTTGTGGCGTCTTGGTCTTCCGCATTTTTCAGGTGCCAGGCGCCACGTGGACATTGTGGCAAGAGGTCTTTGCCATTTTGGACCCCAGAAACACCGGCTGGATCACCAACCCTGCGTTGCAGTCAACCAGCCTGGGCCTCAAAGCAGCAGCCAAAGCCATCGACAAAATTCTGCTCAATGGGTCAGTCCTACTTTTGGGGGGCCCACCAAAGTTTTACATTGGCTTCCTTTTTGAAGCAGAGCAAAAAGGCAGTACCTTCAACAAAAAGACAGACGCAAAGATGGACCAGAATCCAAGAACGTGCGTGAGGTAAGAAAGTGTCATGCTCCTAACGAGTGATCAGAACAAATGCTTATTTCGAGAATCACAATGTGTTTCGTCTTAAGGCAAGTTCTGACGTGTGAACGAGACTCCGCCACATGCCGGGATATGTCGAGCTTTATTTATTATTTGTCTGGCAATTGCACATAGAAAAGATGACTGCGTACTCGATCACAAATTACAGCTGTTTGCTCGGTGGTGCTTTTTGCAGTTACACTCGGCTTGAAGAGTTTGAGCAATAAGCTGATGGCATGGAAGTTGAGGCACTGCTTGCTTTTCATTGTCCCCCATCTTTGATCGGGAATGCGACTGCCATGTTTGAGAAAATGAACTCTGGGGTGCAGTCCTTTGTTTGGCACTTGGTTTTGAAAGTCCCATGCGGGCCTCCCAACTTGGGGCTAAAATTGTCCTTCTCCCTCGCAACTCACAGTTCAATTCTGAATAGCTGAGCCAAAAGACCTCATCAGCCTCATAGTTTCGGTTGACCCTTGTGGTGGGTTTCACAGTGCACTGGTCCTCAGTTTTGCTTGGACGTGTGTCGCCTGGATTTGCGTTGCCAAGGATTGATCTGTCCGGAGGTCTGCAACTATATGTGCCAGCCTCAGCCAGCTGCAAGGCGACTTTCCTAAGGCTTCGGTGGGCCATAGCGAGTGATTTTTACGAACTGGGGGCTGAACCTTCAGACCTCCCCAGTGGTGTACCTCACACTTGCTTTCGGTACCTGGCAGAGAAGAGGTTGGGCATTTGGATATTAGTTCGACCTATCCAGGACAAGAGTGCTTATGCGCGAAATCACAGGCATCGGGCACTGTGCACACTCATGAGCTGTCATAGAACTCACAGGTCACAACATTTGGCGGCTCGCCAGCGATGTCCGAGAGGAAATTAGCCCAAAGCCGTGCTTCAAGTTTGTTTTATTTATTTATTTATTTATTTTGCTATAACACCAAATTAGCCCAAACCCTTGCTTTAAGGTCTTTTTTTAGCTAAAACCCTACGTAGGACTTCCTACAATTCACCCCGCAAGCCCTCCGCCAGTTGAAGTCCAGACACTCGCTGGGGGCGGATGCTAGCGTAGCAATTCCTCGCAAACTAACCGGCTGGACCCGACATGTTGAATGGAACAAGTTTCGGCGGGAGCTTCCGGGAAACCCAGGTGTTTCAAAAAATGGGTGTGGCTCAAAGTTCAACAGCAGGGGCAAACCGCAGGTTTTAGTCTTTGGTTCCATTTACCTTCTGGTGCCATTTTGGCATGTTTTTTTTGAGCCACAGCCAAATGCCCTAGAAAAAGGCCGGGTATTTGGAGGTTACGGGGGTAGTCCGGCCTTTGAACCTTTTAGTTTCCCTGATTTGGTTCCAAAAGCAGGGCTCGATGGACTTAAACTCAAGGGTTCCCTTTTTAGGGTAGATGACTCACCCCTGGGTTTAAGTCATTGTGGGAGTAGGCAAAAAATGCAGCCATGTTCAAACTCAGTTGTTCAGTGGCACCCTTTTTCCTTTTTTTGGTGGCTGTCCCACTAAAATGGTCTTCCCCAAAAAGGGTTCCCTTTTTTTCCAGGGTCACTGAACAACTGAGCAAAGGCTTAACCTTTTATTTTCACGTCCTCTGGGCTCGTGAGTATTGCTATCCGGGCATGAGGCCCCCCGCCCATCGAAAACCAGCAAACATATCTAGCTGAGGGGCTGACAGAGGTTGACGCACTCCAGGACCAGATGCCAAAAAAAGAAACGGAACCGGTGTTTTCGTTGTTTACGAATTCGCGTTGTCTTACCCCATGATGTCGACCCTCTACTAAAAAAGGAGGTAATTAGAAACCCAGGTTGTTCAATACATTAGAAAAAGTGGGTATTTGGAGTAGGGGGAGTTTGTTGTTTTCGAGTTCTTGATCTTGGACTCTCCACCAAGTGAGTGCGTAACTGGCGAGTAAACCGCGAGCAAGGAGAATCGAGGCACTGAGGGGTAATCACGACGGGCGGGATTTCATCCTTGAAGGCTCATCCATTCTTGGGATTTCTGTTTTTTTCAGATGGGTGCGTTGTAGCAAGTCACCCAGAGTCATTCACTAAGGGCATCTAACTGGTTGTCGTTGGGAAACATTTTACACTTTTGCTTATTGTGGTTTAGTGAGATTTGAAATCCCCACTTAACAAGTCAATTATAGAGAAGGGGGGTTGCTTGGTGACCACCCATTGTAAGTGGCCAGCACCCTGGTAAGTAAGTCCCTCAAGCGGATTGTAGCAGGGTAAATCCTGCCTAACGGGAATACCAAGCAGGGCTAGTAACCACTTGCTAACTGGCATGGTTATTCAAGTAAGTGATTAATGATTAATGCAAGGGGACAGCATATAGTATTTTGGGGGGTACACACCCCTTTTCGCATACCTTGGGTTATTTGACCCCAGCAGGCTTCCTTTCGGTCATGCTCTCCCGAAATAGGATGAAGTGAGTTGGTACCTGGGCGAGCAAGGCGCAGGAGCAAGTGTATGCACCAGTATGTACTGCCACTCCAAGAAAGCAGGTTACTTCACGAAGGCAAGTGGAGTTAAGGGGCTTGAGATGTGTTTTTGCATTCTCAGGAAGTGAGTTATACAATCAGCTTTGTTCGAATTGGTGGTTTGGATTGGTAGTTTGGAGGTGTTTACGGGTGGTTTCCCATTAGTTTACAGGAACCAGGGGTCCAGGGTTCAAACCCAAAACTACCACCGGGCTCCAAAACCACTTGCCTGATACACGGGATGTTTTATCATGGTACAAAGAAAGGCTTGGCCCAGTGAGGGGGGGGGGTTCTATTTGAAGGTTGTTGCGCCGTGAGTGTTTCTGACAATGCTGGACCTCCTTTGTCTAAGATGATTTCCAGCACGTTCGCATCTTTTTGGAGCCTGCGCGAGCAAAGGGGGCATCGTTTTGTAGGATCAATAGCTTTAGAAAGTGCCAAAGAAGGAATCGGAGCCCGCTATGGGTGGCTTCCGGTTGAAAGCAACTGCGCCCCCAAACATGGAAGCCCATAGAGTGCGTGTGTGTGTGCGTGCGTGCGTGCGTGCGTGCGTGCGTGCGTGCGTGCGTGCGTCTTCCAAGTAAGCAACAAGAAACCAAGCGCTTTGCGTAGGGCAGAAAGGCGCACACCCAAAACGGCAATGACCAGGAGCAAGGGGGGGAGTACCCAAATCGCAAATCCGGCGCGCGATCCTTCGGCAGGGTGCAAGCCTCGCGGGCCGTGGGTTCATGACGAGCTCATGGTTTCTTCCCCAGAATTAGTTCCCCTCTTTTGTTTGTTGTTTTCTTTTTTGGGGTCCCCTTCGTTTTCCTCTAACCAGGCAAAATTTCAGCCAAGGTCCTCATTTCAGCCAAGGTTTGTGCCTCAAGCCCCAGTGAACCTCCAGTAAGCCCACCGCCAGGGTTTCCGAGCCGTTCCCTTTTCGGAAAACCTCCGAAAGCGATCGTTTCAAGCACCGCGTAAACTGATCAACTTAAGGGAGGTCCAGCAACCCCGGACATAGGGTTTCCAACTTTGAAGATTTGATACGGGAGGCTTCTCCCTACAAATGGATTGGCAATAATGTTGACCCAGGATTAATAAACCCGTCCCAGTATTAAGGGGGTGTTCCCTCCAAAAGTGGTCTGAATCCCCACTAAAAGGGGGCACCCCCCTATTAATCAACCAGGGGTTGATTAATCCGGGGTTAACAATTTGCTGCGTTTGCGAAGAAATTGCCCTCGGGCCGTCCTGGTTCAGGGGTCAGGATCTATGGAAATACATTTCTGTGCGTGTGTCCAAGAATGTGATCTTTTGCAAATAGTCGGGGATTGCCGAAAACGCCATTCAAAAGGGTCCCTCCCCAATATACGTGTTTTGTTGTCTTTTGTTCGTTTTGAGGTCTTGGATGCGTCCAGAAAAGCCTCCCTTCGCCATGAAGGTGGATGTTCACTTGCCCAGTGGAGATGGTTGCTCCGTTGCGGTCGCACCGAAAAGGCTCATCAGCGAGGTGAAGGCTGCAGTTCCAGCGCCGCTTGAAGCTCACTGCGAAAGGCCAGCAGCTTGATTTGACGGCCACGTTGAGTGAGGCCGGGTTGCGAGATGGAGACGTTGTGGCAGCGGCTGTGCAGCTTTGCAAATTGGCTGCCACCTCCACGTCATTCGCTTGGCATAGCCACGGAGGCGAGGTTGTCACCTGGGGTGATCCAGCAAGAGGCGGAGACATCAGCCAGATGAAAGAGCAGCTGAGGAACGTCCAGCACATCCAAGCCACTGCCGGTGCATTTGCTGCCATTCTTGAATCTGGGGCTGCTGTGACCTGGGGTGATCTACCTGGCAGAGACAGCAGCCGGGAGCAAGAACAATTGAAGAATGTCCGGCACATCAAACAACTAAGCATGCTTTTGCTGCCATTCTTGAATCTGGGACTGTTGTGACCTGGGGTCATGCAGGTGGTGGCGGAGACAGCAGCCAGGTGCGAGAGCAGCTGAGGAACGTCCAGCACATCCAAGCAACTGCTGCTGGTGCTGTTGCTGCTATTCTTGAATGCGGGTCTGTTGTGGCCTGGGGTGATCCAGAATATGGCGGAGACAGCAGCCAGGTGCAAGGTGCTTTTGCTGCCGTTCTCGAATCTGGGGCTGTGGTGACTTGGGGTAACCCAGAATTCGGCGGAGACAGCAGCCAGGTTCAAGAGCATCTGATAAACGTCCAGCACATCCAAGCAAATGACACTGCTTTTGCTGCCATTCTTTGGTCTGGGACTGTTGTGACCTGGGGTCGTGCAGACTGTGGCGGAGACAGCAGCCAGGTGCAAGAGCAGCTGAGGAACGTCCAGCACATTCAAGCAACTGGCGCTGCTTTTGCTGCTATTGTTGAATTTGGGGCTGCTGTGACCTGGGGTCTTCCACCATGTGGGGGCGACAGCAGCCAGGTGCAAGAGCAGCTGCGGAACGTCCAGCAGATCCAAGCAACTGCCGTTGCATTTGCTGCCATTCTTGAATCTGGGGCTGTTGTGACCTGGGGTCTTCCAGAGTTTGGGGGAGACAGCAGCCAGGTGAAAGAGCAGCTGAGGAACGTCCAGCACATTCAAGCAACTGGCGCTGCTTTTGCTGCTATTGTTAAATTTGGGGCTGTTGTGACCTGGGGTCTTCCAAAATTTGGGGGAGACAGCAGCGAGGTGCAAGAGCAGCTGAGGAACGTCCAGCACATTCAAGCAACTGGCACTGCTTTTGCTGCTATTGTTGAATTTGGGGCTGTTGTGACCTGGGGTCTTCCAAAATTTGGGGGAGACAGCAGCCAGGTGCAAGATCAGCTGAGCTTGTTCTGAGGCACCAATGGCGTGCTGAAAGAAGGAAGCGGCAGATGAACTCCATGGTTGCATTTGGCATCAAAAATGATGCTTCGAGTTAGGGTCCGGGGCAAAAACACCAGAGTTTTTTCGGTACCTTACCCATTCTTTCCAGGGATCCTTCTTTTCAGGAAACCATCAACAACCCGGTTGGAATCACTCCCTGGAAGAGTGTCGCACTGTGGTTGCTTGTTCCACAACTGGCTCATGACCTCAGTCATTGGAGCAGATCATTTCGTTTCTAATGGAAGAGCGTAGCGGTGCCATTTTATAAATCACTCATATGAGCCGAACTGCCCCCTTCCTTTTTGGCTCAAGTCTGTTTGGGCGTTGCCTATCACTTGCTCCATGAATGCCAATAGTGTCAGGTCCCAAAAGCTCCCGTTTCGCGTTGGCACATACCCGTTGCAGAGCAATCTTCTGATTCGATGGCTCCAGTGCTTTGTAGCGGCCTTTGGTCAGACCCGTGTTGGCGACCTAACCACCCCCCTTTGACGCGCACCAAAAAGATATGCAAGGTTTTTTTACGTGTCTCAGGTGTTCCCCAAATGGGGCAAGTTGGACACGGCGTCAAGACTGAGAAACCCTTGACGCAGAGCCCGTGCACCTGTGACTATTTTGCGGCTCCCTGAACCGAAGCGAACTTTGTTTCCAGCAAACATTCCAGCGTCGCTGTCCAGGTTCTAAGGGTCCACATACCTTTTTTTTGAGGCTGGCTTTTGAGAGCTAAATGCGGCCAAAGTACACTGGAACGAAATTTAGGGTAAGAAAGTAACGAAGGACAGCTATGTGTGAGGGTCACGTCCTGCTTCGAAAGGATTACGGATTCGGATCGGCGATGCCCAGAAGGAAGAAAGGATTTCCCACCGAAACGGAGGGCCCTTCAAGAAGTCGGGGCGGGGGGAGGGGGGGGGGGAAGGGGGGCGGGGAGGGAGGGGGGGTATTTATTTAGCGGGGGTCAGCATTAAGGGTTTGAAAGCAGCCTGCTTACACCCTGGGGTTTCAAACCACCTTGAACACAGTGAGGGGTTAATACAACCCATTAGAAACCTCAGGATGTTCGACTTTCATCCAAATGAAGTCTTAACCATTCTTTTCATGGGGGGGTGAAAGCAGGGTATACAGGAGCCGCCCTTTGATTCGCGCTCTCCCGGCGCTCGCCCGCACCCAGGTGCGAGCTGCTGTGTGGCGCGGCCAGCGTGGCGGTGCGTCAGCAGGAGGCGCCCAGCGACGGCTTCTCCAAGGAGGACTTTCTCCGAAAGATGCGCCCGGCCTTGGAGCTGGGGGGGCGGGCTGGGGGTGATGCGGGGATGGATGGGGGGGCTTGGTGGATGTGGGGGGAGGAAGATTGGCGGGATGGAGAGGGGGATGGGGGAGATGGGGATTGGGGGGGTAAGATGGGGGATGGAAGTTGTTTTTTGTTTTTCTTGTTTTGTCAAGATGTTTCCTCTGCACGTGTTAGATCAAGTGCAACTGACATTGCTGACCCATGAGAAGACTGCGAGCCTCAAAACGCGCAAAAAGCGCACTACCAGGGTCCCCTGTTCTGCTTTTTTTAGGGTATCATGTCGGCCCTCTACTAAAAAAGGAGGTATTTACCTTGAAAAACCATGTTTTCCAAAAAATACCCTAGAAAAAGGCCGGGTATTTGGAGTAGGGGGAAGAGAGTCCAGGAATCGGGCGCCCGACTTAGCGTACGGGACAGCGCGTACACCGCTGCGTTTGCCAGTGGAAATTGAGCCCAATTCAAATAGCCAAGGTTGGAGGTGACGAATCTGAGACACCCGGATTCTTAGAGACAAGAAGCTTCAAATAGCATTTGACGCGGCAGGTGCATTGCCAAATGGCTTCACTTCTGCTGCCAGTTTTGTTCTTGGCACGTCACCATGGCTTTAGGCTTTGGGACTGTCCGTCGTGGTGCCAGCAAGCTCTGCACACTATTCGCACTGCGTCAACCAGCTGGTTGTTTAGCAAAGGCTTTGCATGTCGATCTGGATCGACATCACCTGCAAATACGTCCATTTGCTGAAATGAATATGTTTCTTATTATGATTTTTAGCATTTTGTTTTGTCCCTTGTGGGTTTTAAAGGGAACCTATGACTACTGGACATATGTTCATTTTTTCCAGGGGGCGCAAAAGCAAATGGAAGAATTGAGCAAGTGAATCAACCAGTGCCTTAGCCGGGAAGTGCGCCTTGCGGGAAGACCCGCCCGAGTCGTGCCTTCCGCTGATCTCGGGGCTTGGACCTCAGTGAGAATTGTTTTCACCCTGAAGTTTTAAGAAGGCAATCGGTTCGGGGCTGGTGCTTGCACTGTGTAGGACTTCTTCTTTTTTTTAGACAAACCCCTTAAAGAAAGAAGCAGACCCAGAAAAAGTGCGCCAAGAAACGAAGTGTCCTTTGTGAATGACATGTTCTGGGGTTACTGGTCGCTCCACTTTGCTTGCGCTGCTTTCCTTTGCGGATGGAAAGAATTACCATTCGCCATTGTTTTGGTGACCCCGCTGCAGACTGTGTCAAGCACACTGGCCAAGGCAGGTGGTTCACGAATTAAGAGTTTTCCACGGCTGGCCTTTTGGAGTTTGAGGGAGTGAGACTGAAAGGACCTTGTGAGAAGATGTGAGAACAATTGGCTCTTTGCCTACCTGATTTTAGTCGTCAGACTTTGAAGTGTTTGCGACTGCTTCGTTTTAGTGAGTTTGCACTTTCACCCGTAGGTCAGCAACAGCGGGGCAGACATTCGGCTGGTGAAGGTGGGTCCAGCAAGTTTGAATGACAGCTCACCGCTCCCTCGGCAGGGTGCATTCGTGTGTATTGCGCTTCATCTGGAGCTTGGCTCCACGATGTACTCGGTTGCAGTCTCCAAGGCTTTCCTGTTGCAAGCCGAATTTTTTGGATGCAAGGAGCAAGTGACAGAATTACTGGCTATTGGTTTGTACTGCAGAGGGGGACATGGGGTCCTCACCCAAGTTCTGCACAAAACCTGGTTTTCTCTTTGTCCTTTGGGTCAACAAGTAATTTGCAAAGCCACGCTACACTATCTCCTCGAGCTGATCCGGCAATGATTTTGGACACATGATTGAACGCTTGCGCTCGATCCACACCCGTATGCCAGTCACATGATTCAAAATATAATACTTGATCATTATAATCAGTAGTACCGATATCTAAATAATATAGAAAGTATTATAACAGTATTCTAAATAGATATACTAGTATAAATGGTTTGTATTGCTAGCTTTGGTAGTATGTTTTTGGTTGATGTTTGTATAACGAATTGGTGTTGAAATTTATGAATTGGTATTTAAGATTATGATGGATATATGAATGAAAGGAGAATACAATTTTTATTATATGTATTTATATTGGATGAATAACACATAATATAATATTTTGAATTATTTTATGTTTTATAAAATATTATGAAATTTATATATATAGGGGTGTATTATAATAATTTAACACTTTATATAAATATTGTGATTTGTTTGTTTGTTTTGCAATTGGATATATTTATTTATATAGTTTATTCGAAAATTTGAATAAATTACTTAATTTTGCTTTGTATATTTATAAGGCGGTATTTTTAGTAGGTGGATATGATGATGTTGGAGATATCGTTTAAATATATTTATTTTTATTGTTTTTTTTTATTATTATATAATATATTAAGAATTGGTTTTTATTGGCTTAAATGGTTTTATTATTTTGCGATTTAATTATATTAAAAACATGAATTTAATAATTTTATGGGAATATTAAATTTTATTTGTAATATGTTTTTTTTGTAGGAGGAATAATATTATTTATAATTCTTAAATACATATGATTGATTTTAATTATTTTTCTTTTAGATTTTTTAGAAAATTTAGAAATTTTAATTATTGAGAAAATATTGTTGTAAAATGTCTATTAAGAAAAATATTTCTATAAAACAGAATTTATAATATCGATTTAATATATATAAGATATAAAATAAATAAAATGTGATATTGAAATTTATGGGGAAGATATGAAAATATATAGGAAATAATACTTTTATTTTAAATATATATATTTATAAAAAATTAAAATAAATATAAAATCAAATTAATCGAATATCAAATTGATGATTTTAATATTTTTAGTATTATAATGAATACCAAAGATTTATCTTTTTTTTTTTTTTTTTTCTTTTGGATATTTATTTATATTCCGATAAAATTACAAATCATGATTAATCTATCCGAATAATATTTAAAATATTCAATAATACAAATTATGAATATTAAATTCTATATATTAAGCATAAATAAATACTATTTTATTCATCATTATTAAATATGTGCGATACTAATTATTATTATCAATATTAAACAATAATTAGTTTTGTTAATTGTTTCTAAATACAATTATTTATATATATATATTTCTTAAAATCGAATTCATTTCCTTAATTATATTTTTCGAATCTTAGTAGAAACAAAATGATAGCGCAATCGGGGCCCGACGGCACAATCGAGTCCCGATCGGGGCCCGACGGCGCAATCGGGGCCCGATCGGGGCCCGATGATGCAATCGGAGCCCGACGGTGCAATCGGCCCAAATGGGGTTCGACGGTGCAATCAGGCCCTGATTAGGGCCCGATAATCCCGTAGCACAAGTGTATTCCCACCATCCCCAAGCACCCATATTATAGCTGAACGCCGGCTTTGCTTAAGATACGGCCTTGCAAGCTAGCAAAATTAGGAGAACCGATTTGGTAGTTGATGGGGCCGGATCGGGCCCCGACAGTGCAATCGGCCCCGACCTATCCGATTGAACCCGGTAACCTCCCAGACCGTTCTCGTAGAACCTTCGTAGGCTCAGCGTGAAACTTTGTTAGAACCTGTCCTTACGGCTGCCCCATAGCTTTTGCAGAACCTAGTGGAAACCTCGTGGAGCGTTTTTAGAATTTTATTTCGTAATCTCGTAATTTTATAGAACCCTTAGAACCCAAAAGCCCACCAAATAATACTAAACATTTACTCTACTACACAGTGAGTTTGCCAGAAAACTCTCGCGGTGCCTGAGTAAGTGAGTAAATAACAAAATAGTAAAAGTATGCAAAAAATACATTGATTTCGGTTTTGCTCAGTGTTCCGCCCATGAGCAAAACGATCTTCTGAGCCCTCAATTTATTGCTCCGATGGCTTGTTTTTTTCAAACGGTGGGGACAGAACACATTGTTTCCTTGCAGAACATTTATGGAACTTATCGAGCGTTATGAAGCTTATAACCCTTGTAAAAATCCTTGCGAACCTTACCTTTTTTCGACCCTTATAAATCACCCCAACTACCCCGTAGCCCTTGCAAAACCTAGTGGAACCCCTAGGAATTATCTCGAACCTAATAAAGCCCTGGTGCCTCGTGGAACCTTACGTTGAACCTGGTGATTCTGGTAGAACCTGCTCTTAAAACCTTGGCGGAACCCTCGTGGAATCTTACCTCAAACTTCCCCGGACCATTCCGCCACAACAATTTGGTAAAACCCTGGTGGAACCCTCGTAGTACCTTACCTGAAACCACTTGTCAATAGCGGAACCCCAAACCGCAGAACCTAGTAGAACGCCCCTCGTGGCCTTTGCAGAATTTGGTAGAACACTAAAATTTCGTTAGATCTTCGTCTCGTGGAACGTGGAACCTTATCTCAAACCACCCGGACAATACCCCGTAGCCCTCGCAAAATCTATAATGGAACATTGGTGGAACCCTCGTTGAACCTTACCTCAAAACACCCCGGACCACCCCACAGCCCATATAGAACTTGGTGGAACCCTGGTGGAACCTTCGTAGAACCTTGTATCAAATTACTCCGGACCCCGCAGCCCTCATAAAACCTAATACAACCCTGGTAGAACCTTCGTAAAACCTTGCCTCAAAGCAGCCCGGACCACCCCACAATCCTCGTAAAATTCGGTAGAACCCTCATAAAACCTTACCTCAAACCACCCCGGACCATCCCGCCACAGCAACCTAATAAAACCCTAATAAAACCCTCGTAAAACCTTACCTCAAACCACTCGTAAAACCTAGTACAACCCTAGTAAAACCATGGTGAAATCTTAATAAAATCCTAATAAAACCCCTAATAAAACCCTAATAAAATCCTCATAAATTCTTATCTCAAATCACCCCGAACCACCATAAAAAAAAAAAAAAACCCTCGTGGAACCATACCTCAAACCACCCCGGATCACCCCATAACCCTCGCCAAAATGTCGTAAATCCCTCGTAGAACCTTACCTCAAGGCCTCCCCGGACCACCCCGGAGCCTATCTGGGCTTAAAATCCCAAAATTTTTAGCTGTTAAAACAATCTAATTAATAAATATATTTCGAAAAATCGAAATTTATTTAATTTATATATTAAATAATATAAAAATATATAAAAATTAATAAAATTATATTCATAATAAGCTCAAGCGATATCCCCAACAGCACCACACCATCCCATAATCCTCGCGGAATGCCCCGCGACCAGGTTTGCTAAGAATGCCGCGTTATAATTTTGTTATAAAGCACAAATAAGAGTAACAGCGCAATCGGGGCCCGACGACACAATCGGGGTCCGATCGGGGCCCAATCGGGGCCCGACGGCGCAATCGGGGCCCGATCGAGGCTCGACGATGCAATCGGGGCCCGAGCGGGGCCCGACGGTGCCCGAGCGAGGCTCGACAACGTAATCGGGCCCCGACCGGGGGGCCGATAGTCCCGTGGTGCAAGCGGACTCCTACCCACCCCAACCACATATTATAGCTCAACGGTCTTTTGTATCC